GGACTTTGGTGGGGTTTTTTTCCTTGCACTGATCTCGAGCTATTTTTATTCCTTTTTCCACCCTGTGATGGGGCAGGCAGTCAATAGGGTGCTTTCATGGCCTCATTTCGGAGAGGCCTTTGGAGGAATTGAAGAGATGGGTTATTATTAAGTCCTCATCATGCTAAAGATGCTTTGAAACCACACCTGGACCCGCTCATGATCTAAGCCTGGACCACCAAAGAGGAGAGGGCAGGGCAATAGCCCAGGATGGGGAACAAAAGAAACAAAAAGCTTTTTTTTGGTGTATTGATTTTCCTTTGGTTGCTTGGGAAAAGCACGTTGGAATCTTCTGTGCTGCCTGGAAAACTTGGGGCAATACTTTCGGAGGAGTATCATGATTTTATAAGGAATAATCACTATTTAAATCTGGGTTAACTATGGAGATTTCATCATTTTTTAAAATTATCATCCAAATTTGGCACTTGACATCTCTTGGGAAAACACCAGCAAGGAAATAAAGCAAATAACTGGCCAAAACTCAAATTGAGTTTAGCAATGTCTTTGCTTGTATTAGAAATTTGCACAAAATGAAGTGAATTGATTTTAAATCAATTTATTTAAAATGGTGCAAACTCCTAATACAGACAGAACTAGTTTAACCTTTGCTAAAATTGATTTTGCTTGCAACAGTAAATTACCAAGTGAGACTGAACTGATTTAATGGAGGGTTAAGCCTGTTTAAGTGTGTCCCTTTTCAGGGCTTTCATTGGTTTAGAGAGTGAGGATGGTCCAGTCCTTGGGGGGGCCTCAGGAAACTTGATTTTTCCTTTCTTGCTCTGCCATAGATGTTGTCAAATTCTCCTCTCTGGGGCTTGGTTTCCTATGTGGGGATGGGGGATTTTAGATTTTTCCTGTTTTGTAGGAGCATTGTTGCCTTGGTGGTGAGAAGCACCTTAGGGGGTGTCTGTCCAGGAGAAAATAACTGCTACTCCACCAACTCAACTGCAAATTATAACAGAGGAGTTGCTAACAAGTTTAATTTAATTGGTCAGGCTGAACCAGAGCCATATTCTGTGTTGCAGGATGGAAAAATTGACATTTTTCCAACATGAAGCTTAAACCCCATCCCTGTGCCGCCAGCATCCCTCCTCCATCCATCAAACTCTGCATTTCAGGATGCCTTGGAGCATCTCCTCCAGGCTGGAGGGGGCTGCATGCTCTGCAGTCCTACATCCCTTTTGTTGTGACATTTGTTTTGCAGGGCTTGTTTGAAGAGATGGATGGGAATGCTCCAGCTTAGCCTGGCTCCCCAAGGCTCCCCAGTGCTGAGTTTAAGGTTGTGGTGCTTTTCCGTATGCCAGAGCAGCTCAAACCTGAGTCTTTGGACGTGGAGGAGCCTGAGTCCACCTGTACATCTGTTTTCCAGTGGATAGTAAATCCCTGTGACTTGTCTGGGAGCGATGTGATTTGAATTAATCAAAATGCCTCAACTGCAGGAGGAAAAAAAAAAATCGGGTCTAGATTGACGGAAGCAATGGAGTGGTGATAACTGTGTTTTAATCCAGTAGCTGAGGACTTAGAGCAGCCGCCTGGGAATCAATCCTGCCTTTTTTTTTTTTTTTTTTTTTTTTTTTTTTTTTTTTTTTTTGCCTGGGGAATTTGAACCCGCAGCTCCCTGGGAAGCACCAGGGACGTTGGCAGATGGGGGGTGCTGGGCTGGCCCCTGCACAGAGCTCTCTGCCTTGTATACCAATAGGTGTTTATTAATTAGGAATCCGAGTGGCTCCCTCGCTCAGAGGTTAGGAGACTCGCTGGGGAAGCTCTGGTCCCTATTCTCATTAAGGTTTAATTATACAAAGTAAAATATCATCAACAGGAGGGAGCAAGCCCCCCTGAATGCTCGATGAGGGGATGCTGGACGTGGCTTTGGGTCCCTGTGGATGGGGAAAGCTGAATGGCTCCCATCTGGGGTGGAGGACATTGGGATCGTTTCCCTTCTCCTGTTGAGCTGTGGTGCAAATCTGGGGAGTCCAGCCTGCAGTGGGGTGGGCACAGGACAGAGTTAATTCCACAGAGGTCGGTTGCCAATCAGGTATTGCTGTGGAATGAATGGCAAATGATCCGAGGCTGCTGTTAAGTAAAGTATCCATCTGTGAGCATCCCGGGAGCCCATAAATTCCAGGGATAATTAGTAGCTGCCATAGAGAGAGCAGCAGGGCACTAACCATTTTCACTTGAGGTTTGGAGCCTCTTCTGCCCAGGCAGTGGAGCGATGGGGAGGAAGGGTGAGGAGGTTCCTCCTCCTCCTCCTCCTGGAACAGCTCTGACACGAGCACAGCCCATCATCCCAGGGATGGGAGCACTCAGGGAAGGGTCTGTACGTGGTGGCTTCATTTTGACTTGGAGAAATGGTGCTTGATGAGTGAAAGCATCTCTCTGAAAAGCCACCCCAGTTCTTGCTGCCTCCAACCTTTATCTCTGCTTCATCTCCAGCTCTTTTACCACCACTGGCATCTTGATCCTGGCTTTTATAATGTGGAAACTGAGGCAAGGTGATGAACGGTGGTTTTACTGCCAAGATCAAGACAAGTCCCCTGTTTTTTTCCTGCTGCTCTGGTCAGCAGGGTGCAGGTTCTGTTCCTGGGTGGCTGTGGCCAGGGCAGAGGCAGCTGGGCAGAGCAGCTCTGGAGGAGGCAGGTGGTAATGAGTTCACGTTTTGGAAGTGCTCTCAGGTGAAAGTTGCTCTCCAGGAGAAGTGCAAAGAGTGCTGATTTGCATTCTTATTGCAGGCAATATCCATAGGGAGAGAATGTCAGAACAGCTGTTATGTCAAATTACCTTCCTCCAGTAACAGGGGATTTTATCTGTCATCTCGTGGAGGGCAGAGGCACTTGCACCCCTTGGGGGAAGCCTGGGTTTGCATATTTTTTGCATCCAGTGCTTTGTGGAATGACTTCGCCGAGTCCAGCACTGGGAGAGGCTCGGGGTGAGCAGCAGGATGAGGGATGGAGAGCAGATGGAGCAGAGCAAAGGGGGCAGAGCAAGGGCTGGGATGAGCCCAGGTGCTGCTCTTCCCCATCACTCCCCAGGATGATGCCCAGGTCTTTCCCCATCCCAGCCTGTGGCAGCAGCTTGGTGTGTCGTGAAGCTTTTATCACAGCCTTTCAGTATAATCACTTCTTAATTAACTCAAGCGATGGCTTTATTTCTTGAAGCTCGTTTCCAAAAGCTTAATTTTATTTCGATGCAAAATTAATATTTTTTCGTTGTTCTGCTTGGAAAAAGCGCCCGCATCAGTGTGAAGGGGGAGAGGAGGAAGCTGAGCCAGCACAGCTCCTCGCACCAAAAGGTTTCTGCTGTCGTCTGTGTTTTCCCAAGCAGCCATCAAGTTCTAGTGATCATTTGCAGGGAGGAAAAAAATAAAACCAAGCGTGGATCAAGATCGTTAAAAGGCTCCATCTGGATGGTGCTAAGGACGGGTGATGGCAGTGGGACTTGGCCCTGCCTGGCCTCAGCTGTCCCCATTGCAGCCAGGGACAGGCAAACAGAGTGTTTTTACTTTTAGGAGGGATCTGGGGGCTTGCAAGAGCCTCCAAATGTTCTTTGTGCCTCTGGGCTGTGCAGCGAAGCTCTGCAAGCAGAAGGGTGCTGGGCATGGGTTTGGTGCAACCCAGCTCTGTGTGTGAGGGCTGGATTTGGACAGGGATTTCCCTTTGGTTTCACACCCAAGGCAGGGCTGCTGAACAGCAAAACGTGTTGCTGATGCTGTCCCTCTTCCCTTTCCACCCAGGACACCCCCAGCCAGTCCTGCCCTCCCACAATTCCAGTTCAGGCTCAGCTCAGGCTTGTCTTGCTCATGGTGACCCCATCCTTGAGTTCCAGGCTGAAAGTGGATTTCATTCCCAACAGCACCACATCGTGCCTCAGTTTCCCCTTCCACAAAAGCATGCTGATTCCTTTCCTTGAGGTGTTCTGAAACCTCTTAGGAGAGCAAGGTGCCACTGCCATTGTCCACATGGGTGGCTCCAGCTTGGCTGTGCCTTTTGGCCAGGACAGATCTGAACAGGTCCAAGCCCAGTTAAGTCTGACAGGAAATGTCCTTCCCCTGCTAATCCTGTGGGCACAGTCCAGGCCTAAGCTGCTCAGTGGCATTAGGTTTCTAAAAAAGCTTCAGATGGGACAGGGCACTCCAGGGAGAGGGCCACAAGTAGGACTGGGTGTCCCCAGCCAGGTGAGACACTGTGCCCCAAAATAGCCACAGGCCAGCTCAGACAGACTGGCCTTCCCCAGCCTCTGTTTGGGATTAAATCACATCCCCCAAATCCCAGCCTGTGGCCAAGCCTGGAATCTGTGACTCATTCCTGCAAGGCCAGGACACCCAGGCCCTGCTCCCCATTCCCTGCTGGGGTGTCCCAGGGATGTGACTGTGCCCTACACCTCCGGGTCACACAGAGTTAAATATTCCATGTTATTAATTGTTAACGGCTGGATCCTGCTCACAAGCTTTGATGCATAATTCCTTCACTGTGCCCTCATTCCCATGCTCCAAATAGAAAGAGTCTAGAGCCAGTTAAGTGCTGGAAGTGAGGCAGAGGGACGCTGAGAGATATTAAATCTCTGTAGCCTTTCAGAGGCTCCATAATTCATAATCCTGAAACGCACAGGCTGATAATTGCCCTAATCACTGGAGAAACATGGCCAAAATGTACTGAAATAAGCCATAAAACTCATTACAAGATAACAAGATTCTATCTATTCTCGGAGGTCGCGTTAAAGCTTGGCAGGTCAGGGAGTTAATCACCTCCTCCAGCAGAGGCAACGCTGATAAGCGGCGGAGCAGAGCCCGGCTCTGCCTCCGAGAGGGATCCCGAAGGGATGGGGTGCAAGGGGGCTGGGGAAGGCGCCGTGTGGCCATTGGCATTTGGATCAGAGGGGAATAACTTTCCTTGGGGAGGGGTCGTCTTGTAAAAAAACCCAGGCTGAGGTGAGCCTGAAGTGCATTTGTGGGAGGGCAGGACTGCCTGGGGGTCTCCTGGCTGGAGGAGGAGGGCACAGGGAGCAGCAGCAGCAGCAGCAGGTTTTGTTGTTCAGCAGAGACAGGACTGTGCAGGATGAGTTTTTCCTTCTCATCAGAGAGTGATGCTTCCCATGCTGTCTGCCACAGCCCAGTGCTCCTGTATCCTGAAATCCTAGATGGGTTTCAGTTGAAAGTTTTAAAGACAATCTGATTCTAAACCAGGGGCGCCTTCCACTCAACCAGCTCACTCCAAGCCCTGTCCAATCTGGCCTCGAATGCTTCCAAGGATGGAAGGACCCAATTTGTATTTTCTGCTCCTTTACACAACCAGTCCAGCGTTGGCAAAACACCCTTTGAGAGGGAGATCCTTCTGCAGAATTTTTTGTACATTGGGACGCTGTGTGCCCTGTTTTTCAGGGATTGGTACTTAGGGTGCTCTCCTCCCCTCCATCCCTCATGCTGTGTATCCTCTTTGCTCAATCCCAGCTCCGTGCTGTGCCATACTTTAGGGGGAACTGTCTGGAATGATGGGTTGGGGTCCCCATCCCGTTCTGGAATGTCCCTGTTAGGGCTGTGCCTGAGAAGGGCCCCTCAGAGGGGCTGTGGAAGTTCCCCTGGTGTTCCCCCACCGTGGGACAGCCACGTGCTGGCCCTGCCAGAGCTGCCTTCCCACTGGATTTGTGGAGATGGATACTGGGCACGAGGCTAATCCATAATCCCCAGTAAATGCTGCTGATGAGTCAGTGCTCATTTAACAGGAAATAGCCCTCCTGCGAAATCCATCTCCTTGGATTTAGCACAGCCACTTGTTGACTAAATATTAATTGGTTATTAAAAGTATCAGTGAGAGGGAAGGAATTTGGAGTTTCTCAGGGCTGTGGCTGGTTCTGTGTCCCATGGACATGGCTTTTCCTGGTCACTGGACACCAGGACCTCTCCTTCTCCAGTGCCTGAGTCCTCCTTGCCCTCCTTGCCCAAATTTGTTATCCCCCTTTCATTTACACATCACCACTCTCAGCCTTGAAGAAACTGCAGGGGAGGGATCAAGGTTCTGGCATCGATAACAGCAACACCTCACATATCCCTCTTTCTCTGACTTAATCCTCCTTCCTTTTACTATCTTTTTTGTATGGATTTTTAAAGTAATTATTGAATTTTTTTCCCTCTCCCCTGCCTTGAGGGATTAATCCAACAAGATGCAACAAGGACAAGGGCTGATACCTGTGATATTGGGGGGCAAGAGGGGCTGGGAGGAGGGAGAGCAGTTTTGGGTTAGTGAAATATCTTTGGTGTCTTCCAAACCCCTCCAAATCCTGCTGTGCAGGAGGGAAGCTCTGAGGAGCCATGAGAGCTGTGCCTTCCCCTCCATCAATTGGAATTGCAAGGCTGTGGGAGATTTCCAAGCCTGGGAAGGGGAAAAGGACCAGAACACATCTCCTGATGGAATGTGGGGGGTCAAAGGGGATCCTGGAATGTATTTACACATATTGGAAAAGGGAAGATCGAGATATTGCTTGAAGGTCAGCAATAAGGGAAGCAGCACCCTCCGTGCTGCAGCTTGGAGAGGATCCATTCACTTTGCTGTGGCTGGAATGGGGTGTTTTAAGCAGAGAATTGGGAGAAATGCAGATATTCAGTTATTTGTGGGGAGGTCAGTGGCTCTGCCCTCGATGCAATCTGAGGAGACCCTTCACATCATCCCGGGGCAACCTGGAGTAGTTTTCTCCTGAGCAGGATTTTAACCAGGAAAATCCTGTCAGTTGGAAAAACACATCATTTTTTTTTTTTTTTTCAGTATAAGACGAAAAAAATTGAATGTTTTTTGTGTGCTTGCTGCGGACCTGTGTCCTGCTGGGTGACAGGAATAACAGTTTAAAGCTGTCATGCATTTTCTGCCCCTCAGCCCTCCCTCCTGTTCCATAGGGGATGGTGGGTCCTGCAAATGAAGATCCCCACAGGTGCAGAATGGTTGCATTGCCCAGTGTGAAAAATCAATAAATGTGCTCCATGCAAAAAAAATTTAAAAAATAAAAATCCCAAGCAGCCAAAACCCCCAATATACCGGAAAACTCGCTAAAAAGCAGGGAGAAGGGAGAGCAAGAGCTCCTCTCAAAGGAATAGTTGTTGCAAAGGGAAATCTTAGGAAGCTGGTAATAAATCCAAGCTCTTGCTGGGGAAGTGGAATGGGATCAGCGGGGGATGCTGCAGTTCCCGGCGGGAGGACACACAAACTGCTGCGAAGGGTTTGACTCTCACCCAGTTTTTCCCAGAAGGGTTTTCTCACATTCCCACTCGAGCTTTGCAGTGGTGGCTGGGCTCAGGGGGCTGTGGTCCCTCGGAGCATCGCTGGAGCATCCCGGTGTCCCGAGCGGGGACATCTCCCGGCCTCGGTGGGACTCTGTCCCCATCTAGCGATGGCTGTGCCGTGCCTGGCACTGCTGCATCGGCTCCGCTGCCACGGGACCCCTGCCTTCATCCCCCGGCTCCAAACCCTCCGGAGGGAGACGAGAGAGACCCATCACAGCCACTTCTGCTCCTAAAGCTAAAAATGAGGAAACTCCGCAGCCGAAGGGGATTAGGAGCAGGCAGGATGTCAGCACTCCTGATTTTAGGATGGTGTTAGGGAAAAACTCTGAGAGTTTAAGGGGATGAGGAGCAGGCAGACTATAACCACTCCTATATTTTAGGATGTGCTAGAATGAGAAAACAATAATTCATTACAGCGAGGCTCATTTGCCAGCTCTGGGCTGGGAGTGCAGAGCACTTAGAGCATCCTCCAAGCAGGTCCCGACCTCGGGTCTTTGCAGGGAAGAAAAAGGGATTTATGTCTCATGTACCCACAGAAGAGAGGTGTGAGAGCAGGCAGGGGAGGGGTGGGGGGGAGGGTTGTGAATGCCTCAAGGGGGAGAGGAGGAGGAGTAGGAGGAGGAGTAGGAGGAGGAGGGAGGTGAGGATGAAGCACTGGCAGCAGACTGTGACATTGTGGCTGCAGGGATGGAGGTGATGGAGTGCCCAGTGCTCCAGACAGGGGCTGCTCGGCTGCCTCAGCCCGGGGCTCTGCAATAAAACGCCGTCCCCAGAGCGATGGGCTGAGCCAGGCTGGAGCAGGAGGGGCTCTGTGCGTGCCCTGCTCTCGGTACCACCCACCACCCTGCCCTGGAAGGAGCAGGACCCGGGGATGGAGCGCTGCAGACCAGCCCGGGCTGCAGCAGGACGTGCTCTGCTCCCAGTGTGACAGCCCCTGTCACTGCTGCTGCAGCCCTGCATATGGGAGAGGCATATGGATGGATGCAGGGGTCCTCCAGCTGTTCCCTCTGCTCCTGGTGGGAATTGTCAGCGCGATGCTTAGCCTGAATGAATAACCACCACATCTTAAATACACCCTTGGCATCCCCCTCCAGGCAGCTCATGGGGCTGGAGATGCTTTGCAGAGGGATCAGGAGGGATGAGACCAAATTTCTCCCCCTTCCCGTTTGGAGCAAGTGTGGCTGTGCATCACATTCCTACATTTGAGCTTTTCTATCTGTAGCTCATATATGTGCTGTAAAGGTGGGCAGGCAGATGGATGGGGATGATAAAAGTGCTCTTTAATAACAAATATCTCTTTTTGGCACTCAGCTTTCCTTAGAGATAGGGCCTGTTAGGTTGCAGATAGCACTGGAAAGGATGAGGACTGGAGAATTTGCCTTAAATTGTCCAGGAATGAGCTGAGAAAGCCATGCATCGAGTCCTGAGCTGCAGGAGGAGCAGGGAGATTTCCAGAGCTCCCCTTGTGCTTGGATTTCCCATCCCTTGCATGGGATGTGCTGAGATGTGTGAAGATGAAGCCACCAAAGATGAATTCCTCCATAGAACAGGAGGCTGTGGATGCCTCATCCCTGGAAGTGTTCAAGGCCAGGCTGGACCTGGTCTAGTGGAACTAAAAGATCTCTCAGGTCCCTTCCATCCTCAACCATGCTGCAAGTCTCTGCTTTCACATTCTTTATTTGTTATTTTGCTCCTCTCCAGCTCTTTCCTTCACCCCCTCAGGGGGGAAGCAGCCATGTGAACACATGTGGGACAGGAGGAGGTGGGCACTGGCTGAGAATAGAGAAAAAAAAACAAACCCAACCATACCAGAGGGAAAACTGGACTCCAGGAAACCTTTGAAAGTAGAGAGTCCTTTAAAAGAGTTGGGAAAAAAGAGAGGAAGAGAAGTGGGAGGAAAATATCTTTCAATTTTTGCCATTTCAAAGCTTTAAGCTGACCTGATTTCAAAGAATACGTGTGTAATACTTTCCCTCTTTCTTCTCTTTTTTCCCCCTAATAGGTAAGTGACATTTTATTCTACTTATCCTTGAGGCAAAGTTGGATTATTTTTTTTTAGAGAGGGGGGATAAGACATGCAGGGAAGGAGCCACACAGGCACAGCAGCCAGTGGCACCAGGAGAGAGGCATCCAAAAGCTGCCCAGGTAGGTGACTCCAGGTGGGGACTGCCACCAGTCCAGGGAAGGGGTGCAGCCCTCGGGGGACATCCAGCCACCCCAAAATCCTCTGGTGTGTCCAGTTTTGAGAAAATCGTAGGGAAAATCCTCAGGAGGGGCCTTCCCAGCAGCTGTAGGGAAGCAGGGGTGGATACTGTTGGGAAGAGAAGCTCGTGCTGGTGGTCAGGACTGGGGGCATGGGGGTCACTCCCGGGCTTTGGGTGCTGCTGTGGGATTTGAGTGGAGTGGATGTGCTGAGGGTCAAGTATGGATATGATGGCTCACTGGAGCGTTTTATTAATGATGTTGGATGATGTTTTGGTGCTTTGGTGTGGGGGGAAGCATGACAGACATGGAACTGGATCCAGTTAGAGCATGGGAGTGCCCTCTGAGCTCTGCAATATGTATTGCAATGACACTGGACATCTCCTTGTGCATCCCTCCCATCCCTAAAAGCTCCTAGCAATGGGGGCAAACCCTCCTCTTGTCTTTCTGGGCTGCTGCCTCTGGAAACCACGTGTGAATATCTGGGATAATTTACTGGGAGCTGCTTTTGCTGATGGTAGGAATGAGGTAATTTCTTGGGGGCCGTTCCAGGCTGATCTGCTGCGTGTGTGCTGACTTCTCCTGAAAGGTTTGGCCTGGCAAGACAAACCTGAATTACAGCAGCAAATACCCTGGGCACCATCCAGGAATGGCTGGGGAAGAGTTATTGTTTCCTGCCCCATTTTGCTCTGCAGCAAGATGACTTTATAACCACATGTACATGAGCAGGACGGGGCTCTGCCGAGCAGGAGTGC